GCATAGCTTAAAATAATATTTCAAAATAAATTTTATTATTTACCTTTTAAATAAAGTAAACTGGTGCAAAAACTTGAATTTAGCTTTCCTCTTTGTTAAGATGAAACCATTTCTTCAGATGATAATTGCCTTTGGTTATAGATTTAAGTTTCTTTATCTCTTAAATGATGTGTTCTGAAATCCTTTATAGTCACTTTGGGTAAGTGAATAGTCAGTTTCACAGTGATCTGACTGGGTGTTCTAAACCTTTTTGACATTTGTTGACAATCTTTCCTGAATGATACTTCAGAGGGTCCCTGAAACATCCCAATGAGAGATATTACACTAATTTGTTTCATTTTGTATTCCGAATGACATGGGAAGTAATGTCAAGTAATAAGTCTCAGGTTATATTGCATGGTAAATGTTACTAATACAGATATCCTAGAAACTGTGTGGAATTCCTAAAGTTTTGATATGTTTGGGTGAAATATTATCAGCCATAATTCTAGTTTCTATCTCAAATATTTTCATAGCACTAACCAAGTTTCACAAAAATACTTTCTCTTATTGAAGATTTATAGAAAGCCCTTTGGATAAATACCAGTTTCTGAACTAGCTAAGAACTCTAAAGGAAAACCAGATGGCAGCACAAAAGTTAACAAAAGGACTGAATGAACTGGCAAATACGTTATAAATTTTATGGTTTCTATCTGAAAAACTACTGGGTTGAATCTGTGTTTTCCAGGTGGAAGAAAAACCTTCCCCTCAAAATAATAATGACAGTAATTTGTAAAATTATATTTTATAAACAAATTGAAACATTTATCTTTTTTCTCAATCTGAACCCTCCAGAGGTTGAAAGCTCTTCATTTTAATTCAGTTCAGTTCAGTGCCTCAGTCGTGTCTGACTGGTTGCGACCCCATGAATCGCAGCACACCTGGCCTCCCTGTCCATCACCAACTCCCAGAGTTTACTCAAACTCATGTCCATTGAGTTGGTGATGCGATCCAGCCATCTCATCCTCTGTCATCCCCTTCTCCTCCTGCCCTCAGTCTTTCCCAGCCTCAGGGTCTTTTCCAGTGAGTAAACTCTTCGCATGAGGTGGCCAAAGTACTGGAGTTTCAGCTTCAGCATCAGTCCTTCCAATGAACACCCGGGACTGATCTCCTTTAGGATGGACTGGTTGGATCTCCTTGCAGTCCAAGGGACTCTCAAGAGTCTTCTCCAACACCACAGTTCAAAAGCATCAATTTTTTTGGTGCTCAGCTTTCTTCACAGTCCAACTCTCACATCCATACATGACCACTGGAAAAACCATAGCCTTGACCAGATGGACCTTAGTTGGCAAAGTAGTGTCTCTGCTTCTTATTATCCTATCTATGTTGGTCATAACTTTCCTTCCAAGGAGTAAGCATCTTTTAATTTCATGGCTGCAAAAACCATCAACAGTGATTTTGGAGCCCCAAAAAATAAATTCTGCCACTGTTTCCACTGTCTCCCCATCTATTTCCCATGAGGTGATGGGACCAGATGTCATGATCTTAGTTTTCTGAATGTGAAGATTTAAGCCAACTTTTTCACTCTCCTCTTTCACTTTCATCAAGAAGCTTTTTAGTTCCTCTTCACTCTCTGCCATAAGGGTGGTGTTATCTGCATATCTGAGGTTATTGATATTTCTCCTGGTAATCTTGATTCCAGTGTGTGCTTCTTCCAGCCCAGCGTTTCTCATGATATACTCTGCATATAAGTTAAATAAGCAGGGTGACAATATACAGCCTTGATGTACTCCTTTCCCTATTTGGAACCAGTCTGTTGTTCCATGTCCAGTTCTAACTATTGCTTCCTGACCTGAATACAGGTGTCTCAAGGGGCAGGTCAGGTGGTCTGGTATTCCCGTCTCTTTCGGAATTTTCCACAGTTTATTGTGATCCACATAGTCGAAGTCTTTGGTGTAGTCAATAAAGCAGAAATAGATGTATTTCTGGAACTCTCTTGCTTTTTCAATGATCCAACAGATATTGGCAATTTGATCTCTGGTTCCTCTGCCTTTTCTAAAATGAGCTTGAACATCTGGAAGTTCTCGGTTCATGTATTGCTGAAGCCTGGCTTGGAGAATTTTGAGCATTACTTTACTAGCGTGTCAGATGAGTGCAATTTTGCGGTAGTTTGAGCATTCTTTGGGATTGCCTTTCTTAGGGATTGGAATGAAAACTGACCTTTTCCAGTCCTGTGGCCAGTGTTGAGTTTTCCAAATTTGCTGACATATTGAGTGCAGCACTTTAACAGCATCATCTTTCAGGATTTGAAATAGCTCAATTGGAATTCCATCACATCCACTAGCTTTGTTCATAGTGATGCTTTCTAAGGCCCACTTGACTTCACATTCCAGGATGTTTGGCTCTAGGTGAATGAAAGCTTTTAGTTTCGAGCAACTTTATCAGATAAGTTAGGAAGGTTATCTCACTAACAGGTACAGAAATCTCAAGAAACTTTGGAGACCTTGAGAAGGGAGGAATTTACTTAGATCTGCTAGGCAAAATATGTCATAAGCCTTTGGCATGATTTCCCTAGCCCTGAGAGCCTTTATTTGAAAAGTTCAGTCTGAGAGTCTATAAAAGTCTCAGCAAAGCAAGAAAATTCCATGATCAATTATGGCTATATAAATCATCAGGCCAAGTTTATTGAGATCAGACATATGTAACAAACAATCTTAACTTGTTTATATTTTGTAAAAATATGGTGATTTTAGGGAGAAATAATATGTTTCAATGAATGTTAAATCCCTGTTTGTTAATAGAGATCTGTGTCTACTAAGACTCATTTACTGGATAGTTCTTTGCTGTTTGTGTATATTATTGTAAAATTTAATTGAATTATTAAAGGACACTGTATGGTTATTTCTGAAGCTTATCTCAGTAACCTGTCTTTGGTTGAAAATCAGTTGCCTCATGCACGACTTGCAGCCAAGACTGGAAGAAGGCATAATTTAAGGAACTGTCTCCAACCTGGTTGGATGGACCTTCCTCTCAGGTACTTTTAAATAGCTCATGCCCAGTGAAATTGAAAAAAAACTGACTCTTGTGTTAATTCCCACTTCCAAGGGTCCCTAAGCTGGACTGGTCTATAGAGAGGCCCGCTGACTTCAAACTCATCTTAAAACAATGCTCAAACAGAGGAAACTATACTACACTAGGATAAGAAGAAGATGACATCAGAAGTAGACAGCTTGCCCAAGTGCTGATCTGATATGTATGATCATTTACAGTGTTTTCTTGATTCCTTGAACCTATGCATATCAACTGAATGTTTTCTATCATAGACATCATTCTATGCTAGTTAGAAACTCAATGCGATTGTTGGGTTGTGTCCAATTACCTGTGTCTAATACTTCTGGGTTACCTTGGTGGATTTCTGATCTCTAGGGCTCTGCTTAGATAGCCCTTAAGAAATTTATTTTAGATGAATGTTCAGTTTGGTTCTATCTATTCATGATATTGCTAGATGGGATCGTTTCACCTGGCCATTTAATAATACCTGCTCTGATGCTGGTCGTAGATTTACATTTTCTCTTAGTTTCATTCAAACTCAATTGGAGTGAGGAGCTAAGTCTCAATAAAATGATTAACTTCTCATCTATTAAAAGGAAAATTCCCACAATTTTTGGGTGGACCTAGGTTATTAACACCAGGCCACAGTCATTTAAGTTTAAAAGCTCCTCTATGTTCAGTTCAGTCACTCAGATGTGTCCAAATCTTTTGCGACCCCATAGACTGCAGTACACCAGGCCTCCCTTTCCATCACCAACTCCTGGAGCTTACTCAAACTCATGTCCATTGAGTCGGTGATGCCATCCAAGAATCTCGTCCTCTGTCATCCCCTTCTCCTCTTGCCTTCAATCTTACCCAGCATCAAGATCATTTCCTCTGAGTCAGTTCTTCACACCAGGTGGCCAAAGTATTGGAGTCTGAGCTTCAACATTAGTCTTTCCAATGAATATTCAGGACTGATTTTCCTTAGGATGGACTGGTTGGATCTCCTTGCTGTCCAAGGGACTCTCAAGAGTCTTCTCCAACACCACAGTTCAAAAGCATCAATTCCTCAGCACTCAGCTTTCTTTACAGTCCAACTCTCACATCCATACATGACTACAGGAAAAAGCAAAGCTTTGACTAGACAAACCTTTCTGGCAAAGTAACACATCTGCTTATTAATATGCTGTCTAGGTTGGTCATAACTTTTCTTCCAAAGAGTAAGCATCTTTTAATTTCATGGCCAAGGTCACAATATGCAGTGATTTTGGACTCCCAAAAAAGGTTTTGTCACTGTTTCTTTCCATTGTTCCCCCATCTATTTGCCATGAAGTGATGGGACCAGATGCTATGATCTTAGTTTTCTGAATGTTGAGTTTTAAGCCAACTTTTTCACTCTCCTCTTTCGCTTCCATCAAGAGGTTCTTTAGCTCTTCTTTGCTTTCTGCCATAAGGGTGGTGTCATCTTTGTATCTGAGGTTACTGATATCTCTCTTGGCAATCTTGATTCCAGTTTGTGCTTCTCCAGTCCAGCATTTCTCATGAGGTACCCTGCATATAAGTTAAATAAGCAGGGTGACAATATAAAGCCTTGGTGTACTCCTTTCCTGATTGGGAACCAGTCTGTTGTTCCATGTCAGGTTCTATGGTTTCTTAACCTGCAGACAGATTTCTCAAGAGGCAGGTCCAGTGGTCTGGTATTCCCATCTGTTTGAGAATTTTACACAGTTTATTGTGATCCACACAATCAAAGGCTTTGGCATAGTCAATAAAGCAGAAGTAGATTTTTTTTTTTCTGGAACTCTCTTACTTTTTTGATGGTCCATCGGATGTTGGCAATTTGATCTCTGGTTCCTCTGCCTTTTCTTTCTTTCTTTCTTTCTTTCTTTTTTTTTTTTAAGGGGATTACAACAGGTTTATCTTTTAATTTCATGTTACTTGAGCAAGAACAAAATAAAAATAAATGTAAATACGTCTGGGTGGATTAGTCATGGGGCTCCTCTACGTCTGCGCTCTTTTGTCTTCTGCTTGGATAGCTCTTTGATGGCATTCAACTCTGCAGGACTGAACTTGGGGGTTAGCACCACTGCATCGTAATAGAATTCTTCATCAAGCGAGAAGGGCTGAACTTCATCTCCAACGATCTCTTCCCTTTGTTTGTCTGCTCCTTTCACAGTGGGCCCGGGCTTCGTTCCAGGAGTGAGAGGCTGGCCAGCCACAGAAGAAATGTAAGAGGGAACACTCAAGCTTACTTCCTGCTCCACTTGTCCTGGAAGCAGCAGCACGTCCTTGCTCAGTTGGGGATTAATCTCTTCATCCAGGTCTAAATCTTCTATATCAAGGAAATTGTCTACCTTTACCTCCCCTGCTCGATTCAGATCACCTTGAAATCAACTGCCAGCTTTTTGGCCATCGTCTATCATTATCTGCTCCTCTTCCGAACATTGTGATGAAGTACGAAGAAACATGGCTTTATTGCTAAGATGGTGATCATTTGGTTAATTTCTCTGAGTAAATTTTATTGAAGTAAAATTGTTTTCTGAAGAATTAGTTCCAAAGGCTTCTCTTTTGGTCACATTATCTTTTGAAAGATGAGTGAACGTTCTTAGAAATTCTTCATATGTTTGCTCATGACAATTAACAAATTCATCCAAGACTTCTTCAATTAGCCGATCTTCATCCATCATCTCCAATTCTGGTGTCTGGGCAGCCATTCCTATTCATGAGGCCACTTTATCTCCCATTCTCTAGTTTTCCGTCTTGGCTCCCAGCTAGTCACTTCGCATTTTTGGCGTCTTTACTCAGCGAGATTTGTCTCCTCGAGCAGCAAACTATTGGAGCCTCCTCTGCCTTTTCTAAATCCAGCTTGAACATCTGGAAGTCCATGGTTTATGCACTGTTGCAGACTGGCTTGAAGAATTTGAAGCATTACTTTGCTAGCCTGTGAGATGAGTTCATTTGTGGGATAGCTTGAACATTCTTTGGCATTGCCTTTCTTTGGGATTGGAATGAAAACTGATTTTTTCCAGTCCTGTGGCCACTGTTGAGTTTTCCTAATTTGCTGGCATATTGAGGGCAACACTTTCACAGCATCATCTTTTAGGATTTGAAATAGAATTCCAGGATTTGAAACTGGAATTCCACCACCTTCACTAGCTTTGTTCATAGTGATACTTCCTAAGGCCCACTTGACTTCACATTCCAGGATGTCTGGCTCTAGGTGAGTGATCATACTATGGTGACTATCTGGCTCATGAAAACCTTTTTTGTATAGTTATTTTTCTTAGTATCTTCTGCTTACTCTATGTTGGGAAGGATTACTTCAGACTAAAAATGATCAACCTGGTAATTATGAGACAAGGCACAGGTTGTTGATGAACTATACCTTTTTTTTACCCTTAGAGAGAGTGATTGGTATGTAACTCAGTGGATTTTTAACACTAATTTATGGTCTTGAAATCTACAGGTTTGGATACGAAGGTGTTGCCTGGGATTCCCATGAATTTTAGGTCATATATGGTAATAAATTAGAGGTAACCCTAACCAATATACCATTTGTATGATCCCAATGTGTCAAAGATCTGTATTCTGTTGGTATGACCATTTAGCATCTTTGTTCGTGTATGTGTGTGTGTGTGCCTTCAATGCGATTAGAGGATGTAATTGGCCATATCAAAGCCTTAACAACTTTCATAAGCTTTAATTGGTAACCAGGCTATAGCCTATTAAATTCTGAGATCTCAATAATGAGAAAGGAAATGCTACACAACTGCAGGGCTTTGACACCTTACACCATCTCAGGAAGATATGTGCACTAAAATTTAAAGTGAATGCTTTATTTTCATACCTGATAAGTCCTTTAATGCAACACATTTAAAGAACTGCATGAAATATCAGATTTCTTAAGTGGCCCATTCCCTAGTCTTGATGATCTTTAAAAAAAAAAAAAAAACTGGTTTTGTGTGGGAGGCTCATGGGTAAAATATTTACTTTTAATTCCACTAATGTTATTAACTGCACCCATTTGTATTTTGCTTGTTTCACAAGATTATTATTTCTTGTATTACCAAGTGTATGACTGAGTCTCCAATGAAAATGAAGGCTAGACTTGAAGCAGCTGATCAAATGTATAGCTTGATATATGATCAATGATTGTAATGGTGTAATTCTAGATATGGGAAGATGCAACCAATGGGAATACTTTCCTGGACCATAACAAGAAGACAGGTCTCCAGAGATCTCTGGCTATTAAGACCAAGTTCTAACAGCACATTGAGTATCCTGTCAACAAAAACCTTCTTCAGAACTGGAAATGAGACTTTCCAGCAATGTGTGACAAAATGGTCATGAAATTCCCCCCAGAGTATTGTTGTATTTATGATTGGGAGGGGGCCATGTCAACTACAAACTGGCACTCATGAAGAGTATTGCCAATGACTGAACAATAAAGGCATTTTCCAACTGCCTGTATGGAGATTGAACCCCATGCTGCTATAGCTATTGACCTTCAACAACCCCTGAGGGAGTTCAGGCTGGAGTGAGGCACTCTGTGCTCCAGGGAATCTAGTGGGGCCAGGCTTTAGATAATTGGAAGTTTTAGGGACAGATTTTAATCCTTGTATCTCCTCATATCTAGAGAAGCACTAAATACCTTCATGGTGATATTAGATCCTCATGACTAACAAAAAACCTTTTACAAAATGAGTACTTCATGGTACTGAACTCCTCCTTCACTAAAACCTTATGTATTGACCTTCCCCGACTGCTGCTTTAGAACAGTATCTCAGAGTTATCTGAGATGCTGCCTCATGGGCTGCAGGCATCATTTTGTCCCAAATAAAACTTAACTTGCAGCTCTCAAGTTTTACATCTTTTGAGTCAACATGGACAGGGAAGCGTGGCAAGTTGCAGTCCATGGGGTTGCAAAGAGCGGGACATGACTGACCCATTGAACAATATCACCAACAAAGAATTTTTCAGTTTGTTTTGATCCACACAGTCAAAGTGTTTAGCATAATCAATGAAACAGAACTAGATGTGTTTTTTTTTTGGGGGGGGGAAGGGGAGCGGGGGGGAATTCCCGTGCCTTTTCTATGATCCAGTGTACATTGGCAACTTGACCCCTAGTTCATCTGTGTTTTCTAAATCCAGCTTATATATCTGGAAGTTCTCAATTCAAGTACTACTGAAGCCTAGCTTGAAGGATTTTTAGTATAATCTTGCTACTATGTGAAATGAGTGCAATTGTGTGGTAATTTGAACATTCCTTGACATTGCCTTTCTTTGGTAACACAATGAAAACTGACTTCTTCCAGTGTTGTGGTCACTGCTGAGTTTTCCAAATTTGCTGGCATATTGAGTGCAACATTTTAACAGTATTATTGTTTAGGATTTGAAATAGCTCAGCTGGAATTCCATCGCCTCCATTAGTCTTGTTCATAGTAATGCTTTCTAAGGCCCACTTGACTTCACCCTACAGGATATCTTACTCTAGGTGCATGAATACTTTGTGATTATCTGGGTCAGTAAGACCTTTTTTATACTGTTCTTCTATATGTTCTTGCCAGCTCTTCTTAATCTCTTCTGCTTCTGCAAGTCCTTACCATCTCTTTCCTTTATTGTGTCCAACGTTGCATGTAATGTTCTGTTGGAATCTCCAACTGTTGTAGAGATTGCTAGTGTTTCCCTCTATTTCTTTGCATTGTTCACTTACCAAGGCTTTCTTATCTCTACTTACAATTACCTGGAATTCTGCATTTTGTTGGGTTTATCTTTGCTTTATCCTTTGCCTTTCATTTCTCTTCTTTTCTCAGCTATTTGTAAAGCAAATAGGTTGCTTTACAAATAGGAGGTTGCCATCCTCAGGCAACCAATTTCCCTTCTTGCATTGCTTTTTCTTGGGGATGTGTTGGTCTCCACCTTCTGTCCAATGTTACAAACCCCCATCCATTGTTCTTTAGGCACTTTGTCATCCAAATATAATCCCTTGATTTTATTTGTCACCTTCAGTTATAATCACAAGGGATTTGATTTAGAAGACTCTACACATGGACATCACCAGATGATCAACACCAAAATAAAATTGATTATATTCTTTGTAGCCAAAGATGGAGAAACTCTATACAGTCAGCAAAAACAAGACCAGGAGCTGACTGTGGCTCAGATCATGAACTCCTTATTGCCAAATTCAGACTGAAATTGAAGAAAGTGGAGAAACCACTACACCATTCAGGTATGATCTAAATCAAATCCCTTATGACTATACAGTGGAAGTGAGAAATAGATTTAAGGGACTAGCTCTGATAGTCCCTACAGGAATGGTAGGGACCTAACAGAAGCAGAATATATTAAGAGGAGGTGCCAAGAATACACAGGAGAACTGAACAAAAAACATCATCACGACTCAGATAATCATAATGGTGCAATCACTCACCTAGAGCCAGACATCCTGGAATGTGAAGTCAAGTTGGCCTTAGGAAGCATCACTATGAACAAAGCTAGTGGAGGTGATGGAATTCCAGTTGAGCTATTTCACATCCTGGAAGATGATGCTGTGAAAATGCTGCACTCAATATGCCAGCAAATTTGGAAAACTCAACACTGGCCACAGGACTGGACAGGTCAGTTTTCATTCCAATCCCAAAGAAATACAATGCCAAAAAATGCTCAAACTACTGCACAATTGCACTCATCTCACAGGCTAGTAAAGTAGTAATGCTCAAAACTCTCCAAGCCAGTCTTCAGCAATATGTGAACGGTGAACTTCCAGATTTTCAAACTGGTTTTACAAAAGGCTGAGGAACAAGAGATTAAATTGCAAAATTGCTTGATCATCGAAAAAGCAAGAGAGTTCCAGAAAAAAAACATCTATTTCTGTTTTATTGACTATGCCAAATTCTTTGACTATGTGGATCACAATAGACTGTGGAAAACTCTGAAAGAGATGGGAATACCAGACCACCTGACCTGCCTCTTAAGAAACCTGTATGCAGGTCAGGAAACAACAGTTAGAACTGGACATGGGACAACAGACTGGTTCCAAATAGGAAAAGGAGTACATCAAGGCTGTATATTGTCACCCTGCTTATGTAACTTATATGCAGAGTACATTATGAGAAATGCTGGGCTGGAGGAAGCACAAGCTGGAATCAAGATTGCCGGGAGAAATATCAATAACCTCAGATATGCAGATGACACCACTCTTATGGCAGAAAGTGAAGAAGAACTAAAGAACCTCTTGATGAAAGTGAAAGAGGAGAGTGAAAAAGTTGGCTTAAACTCAACACTCAGAAAACTAAGATCACGGCATCTGATCCCTTCACTTCATGGCAA